AAACTGATACTGTGTTCAGGATTTCAGATTCTCCATTCGATTGGCTATTCCTTATAATTATGTACATGTATGTTGTTCTTTAGAGAGAGAGGGAGGGAGAGAAAGGCAAAGTGTACAAACTAGAATAATTATCTGTCTAGCAATCCAAGCCTTGAGTGTTGGTCATTTGAGATGCTTATATCTTGCTCTCTGAGTCTTTTACTAAATCCGGTTCTTTCCTTTTTGTGTGACTTCAGAAACAGAGAAGATGATCTTCTTCTAAGAATTAAGTAGGATTTTCAAAACCAATTTTTTAATTTGATCCCTGGGCTACATAAAATATAAAAAATTAATACATGTGCTGCGATGTTTCTTGTATTTTTACTTGTATGTGTATGCATGTCTCTGTACTTCATCTTCACAGTTAGATAGCAGTCAAAATTTGATCAAATTGGTATAATGCTCATCTGATTTTGTTGACTTATGACAGGTCAGCTGCCACTTGTAGATCGATTGAAATTCTAAGTGAGCAGTTGTTAGGGGAAATCTCAAGAGCCTTGAAGCCTCTGATTCTTCCACAGGGGAAAGGCATAAGGTAATTCATTATTCACGTTCACATTGTCACATTATGGACTTAGTTTTGAAGTGAGAATCTTACTTGGATTTCTTGCAGACCACCCATGTAATTCAGCACAACCTACTACTGCCTAGTTTTCTAGAAGCACAAGCTCTTCAGATGAAATCAAATTTATCATATGAGTAGTCCTTTTAGGGTAAGTTTCAAAGTTATTTACTAGTATCCCTTGACATAATGTTGTAATTGGATATGTGATCACTCACTAGCTCACTAATTTTCACTTTGTTCTCTTTTCTCTCACCTCCCTCTCTCCTTTTTCTTCCTTTTCTTCTTTCCTTCCTTTCTGCCAGGCTCACTTTCGTCTTTTTGTTGGTACAACATGCAACGGAAGGATGAGGCCTTTTTATAGGTAAAGTTGATAGCTTCCCGTGGATGTGCAGTCTCCAACATGTGAATGTGCAGGGAAGGAATTGGCAAACAAAGCATCTCCAAAGTCTTCATTGGTGGGCTCCACTGAACAACTTACAACAGTAGTGTATGTAACCTTTTGTAAAAAAAAAAAATGATACTTTAGTGTGAAAACCTAATCTTCAAAGCTCATAATTAAGGGATTGTCAAAGAATAAGAAAGTGAGTTTTGTATTCCGTTTTCTTCAAGGCAATACACATTGAGTCTCTCGCTCTCCCCTCTCATGCAGTGGTGGATCCAGGATTGTTACCCCAAGGGGTCTTAATGTAAAAGTTATGATATTTTTTTTAAGATGAAAATAACACTAAAAGATAATTTTCTATTATCCAAACAGTCAACTATTTTTTTTTTTTAAAGAAACAAATTTTATTAAGACAAATGAACAAACCTATCTTATTATAAGTTATCCATCACAAAATTAATCATAAACCCTAAATTCCAACAAATCAAATAATCATATATAGTCATCCAATCCAATAAATCATCCACACACAAAATCATCAATATTCATCCATTCCAATAAATCATTATCCAATAAAAATATTAGGCATTATCATCAAACAAAAGAATGTAACACAGAGGTTTAAGTATACCAAGAACAATAAGTTAATAAAATCAGAGATGGAGAGGGAAGAGAATAAAATTTTCAGCCATGTTGAGGGTTTTGGGGGGGAGAAGATTTAGTTTAGGGTATAAAATAATAGAATTTGGGGATTTTAGGAGTCCATTTTGAGTGTTTGAGTTGAATGGAGCAAAGAAATGGTATTTTATTACATTTATTTTAATATTTTTATGTTTTTCATAAATCTTTGTCTCATGAAAGCCCACTCTCCACTCCAAAGAGTGGACAAGACGACCCAATGAAATGGAAAATACGAAGAGTTGTTGGGTAGAGGTGTATGTTAAACGTTGGCCAATATTTTCCAGATTTGGTAAAGTTTTATGATTGAAAGCAATGGGACGGAGGTATTGAGTTGGTTTGGACTTTGTGGGGATTTGCTGGGCCCGACCATTTTAAAGAAAATTCCTGGGTCAAAACGATGTAGTTTTGTTTTGCCTAGGATGTTTTAAAAAAAAGTGTTAACTACAGTAAACCCCCCAATCTATAGGGTCATTTACGAATTCATACCCGATTTTAGGGACATTTACGAGTACATACTCAACGTCGTGGAAAACCTAAAAATTGCCCTCTCTGTTAGCCAAACTGTTAGTGAATATGTTAAATGCTGACATGTCAAAAGTGAGACCCTTTTTTTTTTATGATGTGGACTTCCACGTAGACAAAAAATTAATTTACTGTTTAAATTATTTATTATTGTTAAATTAATTCAAATTTTAAAAAGCAAAATTTAAAAAAAACTCAAAAATCAAAGTCCTCTCCTCCCAATTGTTTCTCTCTCTCTCTCTCTCTCTCTCTCTCTCCTCTCCTCCTAGGCCCCAGCCACCCAAGCTTACTCAGGCCACCCATCCCAGCCTTAACACCTCTCTTGTTCCAGCCCAACCCATCACCTCCCCCATGCCACAGATCTGATCGTTTTCCCTAAACCACAAACCCCAAAACGATGTCGTGCCCGAATCTCAGAATTTGATTCTTTCTTCAACAAAGCGATTTCTGGGTGTTTTGGGAATGCCAACTTGGTCTCTGACCTTATCGACAGGGCCGGCCCTTGGCCAGGGCAACTAGGGCCATCCCCCGGGGCCCACAATTGATTGGGGCACACAAATTGTTTTTAGTCCATATATATGTGTATATGCAAAAACAGGAAAATAAAAACTAAAAGTAAAAGGGCATATGTGATATTAGTTGAGAGTTTTACTTGGTATTATAAAACAATAATAAAAAGAAGGATGCCAATAGTTCTAGAAGAAAAGGAAGTCAACATCCTTATTGTTTTCCCAAGAAGCAAACCTCTCCCTCTCCATTTGCAGCTTTGCTTTGAAATCAATTTCTAATTCTAATTCTCTCTGGAACTAAGTGTGGAAGGAATAAAGCCATACTTTGAGTTGGAAGCTGATTATACTCTCCGAAATTGGGAGCACCAACACCAAAGCACAGGATATTACTTTGAGTTGTAAAAAGTGTGGATATTTTTCCAAATGTAATGATTGCTTATAGGATATTACTGGCTATACATGTGACTGTGGCATCTGCTGAAAGAAGTTTTTCTAAATTAAAATTATTAAAATCTTATTTGCGGACCACCATGGCTCAAGATAGGCTAAATGAACTAGCTATATTATCCATTGAAAGAGATATATTGGAAAACATTAAATATAACAATATAATTGATGATTTTGCTTCTAAAACTGCAACAAGAAGACATTTTAAATTATCTTTTGTGATTAGGATTTCATTGCTATTTTTATTTTGTAGGTGCATATGAAGGTGAAGCATAGGGACATGCAAGTTAATTTGTTGTTGATTGTAATGTTTTCAATTCGGGTACTCTTTTTCCTTCGTTTGAGGTTTTGTTTCCATTGGGTTTTCCTCAAACAAGGTTTTAATGAGACCCAAAGTGTTTTATATTATCGGTTGTAAACTCTTATAATTTTAATAAAATTTATTATTTGATAAAAAATTGTAATTTTATTTATTTATTTGTTGATAAAGGGCACATTCTTAAACTTGGCCCTGGGCCTTAAATCACCCAGGGCCGGCCCTGCTTATCGACGCCGGTGCGGCTGTGAATTAGAGAAGCCAACCATTCTAGCCACCCAAACCACCACCCATCGCAGCCCACAGAAATTAAGACAACATCATTGGAGCAAATCTCAGCGAAATTCAACAAATCCAAGAAACCCACCTCTCCCTCGCATCCACCATCTTCCCCACAGAAAGAAGCGAGATTTGAACTCTCACAAATAGCACAGTTACGTTCATCATCTGCCTTTCCTCATCAAACAAAACAAAACCACATCTAAACATCTACAAAGTCAGTGCCTATGAAATAGAAAATGCTTGGCTGAGAAAAATATCAGAATCTGAATTCGTTTAGTAAAATTCAAGGAATGGACTTCCCCGTGCTCAACTCGCGACATGGCCTTGCCTCTCAAGATCAACCACACAAAAGTCAACTATCGGCCCCAAATTGACATACCGTTCTAAAACTTCGATATATGAACCTTTTGCATCCGGCTGTAGATTTAGCTTTACAAGCTGCGATTACAACGTTTTGGAGTGTAAATATATCATAATCCAAATCATTGAAGGAGGCATCAAATTTTTATTTTTATTTTTTGAAAAGGAAAGGAGGCATCGAATATGATTTAGATCTCTGACGTAGCGAACCCAAACCCCACAACGTCATCCGGCACCGGTGGAGTCGTCGTCGCTCATAGGCCCTCGCGATTCCGCCGCTGGCCTTCTCGGATCGATTGTCCTCATTCGGCAGCGTGCGATACCGTCCACTCGCCGTCTCTTCCTCCCTAGCAACTTAGGCTGGTTGCAGAACTGGGTTGCGATGGCTCGGAGGGTGTGGGGAGGGTAGGTTGGAGGTTGGGCTGGAAGGGAGGGGAGAGTCTCATGTTGGCCTCCTTCCTGGTAATTACTACCGCGTTCTTGGAGCATTGTCAAATGAGTTTTTGAAGGCTGTCAAATGAGTTTGAACAACTTGACATGAACGACAACGTCAAAGACACACCATTAAATGTATAAGACTTTTAACGACAACCTTTTATATGTTAGGTTAGGAAGTGGACCTATACATCACATCATATGGAGTACTCATCACTAATATCACATTAATCGGAGAAATTGTTTAATCACTGACTTGTCTTACTGCGAAACGTGATTGACTAGTCAAAAGGAGAACTGCGAAATGTGATTGACTAGTCAAGAGGAGAAATTATAGTCATACAGAGCTGGTAATATTGCCACTCCAAAACTACCACGTGTCCTGTCACTCAATTTCTCTTCATATGGCATTCATTCACATTGGTCATGCTTAACACCGTTTTCTAAGCAATAATGTTTATGGTGTTTTCTTTCCCTTTGTTTTTCCTTGCCCTGTTTTTGAGGTTTCTATGAAATTCAATTGACCAAAAATAGTTGTGATCATCTCTCTCTTCTAGGACATCTGAGCTGAGCCCCAACCCACCACCACACAATGGAATCTTATCTTCTTATGTATTTTGATTTTTAAATTTTGTGTTACATCCGGTTGATTGCTCCCCAGAATCAATTCTAGATGTGTTGTTTTGATTAAGCTAGCATATACCAAAATAAGGCCATTATGGCGTCAGTTTCAGTTTCAACAGACCTCTTCATTGACAAATTTGTAGCAATTCTCGAGAGTGAAGCAGCCTCCATAGCGGGTGTTGGTGATCAAGTTGATGAGATTAAGCGGGAGCTGGAATTCATGAAAGCCTTCTTAGCGGATGCTGATGGGGGCAACAAAGCACACACACAAGTAGAGGAAGTGTGGATCAGAAGCGTTCGAGACTTGACCAATGATGTTGAAAACATCATAGATGAATTCATGTATCAAGTGTACGAGCAGCAAATTGGCGGTCAATTTGCCAGGTGGATCCACAAAACCATTCACTTTCCAAAGCACCTTTGGTATAAGCGTAAAATAGCCAACAAGTTACAGAAAATCGCGATGGCAATTAGAGCTATTCCAGAGAGAAATCAGAGATATGGTGGTGGTGCAGCTGTAGAAGGGAAAAGTACTTCTTCTGAGGATATTCGCAGATGGGTGCAGAATCAAGCGGAGTCTTCTCTTTATCATAAGGAGGATGGACTCGTCGGGATTGAAGGTGATAAGAACTTGTTAATGGGATGGCTGATGAACGAAGAGCAACGCCAAACTGTTGTGTCTGTGGTCGGGATGGGAGGATCAGGGAAGACAACTCTAGTTGCAAGGACTTTCAAAGATGAAATTGTAAAGAGACATTTCGAATGCTATGCGTGGATTACTGTTTCCCAGTCTTATGTGATTGAAGACTTACTTAGAAGATTGATCAAAGGATTCCACAAAGCAAAGAAGGAAGAGGTCCCTGCAGACATGAATGCCATGAGTTATAACGAATTGCTAGAGATTTTGGTGAACTACTTGGAGACTAAAAGGTACCTAGTTGTATTGGATGATGTGTGGGATGTCCACCTTTGGGACAAAATAAGGTTTTCATTTCCAGATAAACAACTTGGAAGTCGAGTCATGCTTACAACTCGAAGAGAAGACATAGCATCCTCTTCTTTTGGAGTTGAAAGCTATGTTCACAAGATTCAACCGCTGGAAAAGGGTGATGCGTGGGAGCTCTTCAGCATGAAAGCATTCTCAAGTTACCCTAACAAATCTTGTTCAACAGAAATTCTGCCATT